GAGCTGTGGGCAGTCCCGCTTGTAGTATCCCCACCTCTGGCACTGGTGGCATTGCACAGAGGGGGGTTGGCGAAACCTCGGTTGCGCAGCTGTAGGATCTGGTGGGGGTAGTTGTCTCGGGGGTGCGTTTCCTCCTTTGGGTCGCACTGCTGGTTTAACACCCACCAGCTTGTGCTGCCTGCGGGCATCCATATAATCATCTGCCTTTTTAGCCACTTCCGTGATAGATGTGGGTTTACGGTCTCTCACCCACTCCTGCAGGTCTGCGGGTATCCCGTCATAAAACTGTTCTAGCAGCAGCATTTGTAATAGGTCCTCCATGGACCGTGCTGCCCTATGTAATCGGCAAGCCAATTCTGTGTGTGAGTCTTTGTCTGCTTTTTTCAATTCCCTGAAGCGCCTCCGGTATGCTTCTGGTGTAATAGCATACCGGGCCAGGATAACTTCTTTTACCTGGCTGTAATCTCTGATTTCCGTATCTGGTATGGTACGGTATGCTTCAGCAGCTCTCCCCATTAACCGTCCTGCTAGAATGGGGACCCAGTCTTCCCAATTTATTTTATGTAGCGTGCACAGTCTTTCAAAGTCCTGGAGGAATGCATCTATGTCTTCCTCTGCTTCTACATACATTTTAAACGCCTGGTATGGGATTTTCGGCTTACCCTCTTGCACCATAGACACTGCTGGGCTTCTTTCTGGTGTTTGTGGCCTTCTTTGCCGCATTATAAATTCTTGGACCTCTGTCATCGTCTTGGAGATGATCTCTATCGGTGGATTCTATCCATAAAAGGACAGTCTGAATTGAAGCTGCTTTTGGAACTCTGCTTGCTCCGTTCCGTCTGTCGCATCCCTCCGTTCGGTGACCGAATCATCCTCTGTTCGGTATTCTGCCATTACTTCAGAGATGAGTGTTGCCTTTGTTTTGTTGCTGGCTGGAATACCTCTTGCTTCCAGAAGATCTTTCAGTCTGGATCGTTTTAATGTGGAATAATCAATCTCCATTAATCCTTGTTCCTTTGTGAGTCTGGATCCCAGCGCTGCCAACCAATGTAGCGGAGAGCTGATATTTCACAGGCTATCTCCACTTAAGATCTCAGTGAGGCTCAGGAAAAGGTATTATAAATCCATAAGGCAGTACTTTCAGCAGGCAAAACAATCCAACAATATCCCAACATCAATCCCAATCCCAATGACTGGACGACACACAGCATCAGGAGCAGAACTGACTTTTAATCCACACAATCTCCTTATAAGGCATTCTCCCATGCAAGGGAGGGATTCACCATAATTAGGACAATAACCAATAATGTCACAGTTACCTCCCACACATCTCCTCCCCTCAGTGTGACACATAATCCCATTAAACATGCTGTAGTTTTCCCCGAGTTCTGGATGTACCCCAAAACAAGCAGTTAGAATAATACTTTGGGTACCCCCTGGTAGCCCTGATCTGGGTAACTAACATATCCAAAATTTACCCAGATCGGACCAGGGGTTCGGGAGTTAGATGGAGGGTGTAATTTGACGGACCGGACACGAGGTGGTCTCCGAAAAAGGCTCCATGTGTTTTGGCCTTGCGGTCGGTCTCTGTTCGGGAGTTAAAAGACATAGAAGTGTAAAAAGGAATGAAAAGACAGATCCCCATAATCACAAAAAAAATGTGAATTGGTGAGAGCTGTCTTAAAAAGAGCCTACCTCAGAGCTACAATATAGGGGGTAACCCAGAAATAAATATAGTTGAATGACGGAGACCCTTGAAACAAGGGGATCCCAGAAGTAGCTGCTGAACTAAACAGAATAAATAGTATAGTTACCAGGTGGCAAGTAGAGAAAAAGAGGGCGCTGTACTTATAAATGGATAAAAGGGTGAAGGGGGATAAATCGAAATACCCATATATACCCTATATAAACCACTGCTAGTTGTATTTAATAGCAGCAAAGGACTGTCCCTTTAACAAAAAAAAAAAAAAAAAAAAAAGGGAGACTCTAGCATTTATACTAGATAAAATGTCCAAAATAAGGACACCTAAGCTGCAAAAATACAATAAGGCAACACAAAATATGTGTAATACATAAATCACCCCACTAATATAAAGGCAAGCAAACAGGAGCCTATACAAACATGCATAGGAGAAAAGAGAGCAAAGGAGGACAGGGGCAGACCCACTAAGGACAAGCCCTAAGTCCAGAGGAGAGCCCCCAGGACCAAAAAATGCCTGCCTAGAAAAACTCTAAATGCCAAATAATAAATTGCTAACTATACTAACTAACTAAATCAAACATACTAACTACCTAAGTGCTACCTAATGTGAGAAAAAAAAAGTAAAGTCAAATAAGGCGCTCGACGCGCGTTTCAGCGTGCATACACGCCGTCGTCAGGAGCTATTGCAAATGCAGTTCCTATTGAAACCGGTTAAATACCCGAGCAATCAGAGAAAAGTCCATCCAGCTGATCCAGCATGTGGGAGGGGTGGGTGATTGACATGGAGTCACCACTCCTCCTCAACCCTGTCATTGCTTAAGCTAGAGTCTCATTGGAGGATAACAAAGTCAATCACTGAGAGGTGGGGGAGGGACTTATGCATAATCAGAACACACCTATCCAAACCCTGCTGCTCACATGGGGATAACCATTGGAAGATCTATCAGTCAATCAATACAGGAGGAGGGTGCAAAATCAAGCATCCCTCCTCCTGATAATAAAACTGACATAAACCTAACTAGCCAATATATATGATATCAATGAGAAGTATCAAAATGTAGCACAGGGAAGGGGCTCCCTCTAACTGCACCTCTGGCATGAAACTGGCTGACAGATCACACAGTCAGTCATTATGCCAAATATTGATATATAAAATGCCTCCAGATGCATAAAAGCATTAAAGGCATATAATACAGCTCTTGTAACTTGGTGACCCCAAAAAATTATAATAACAGTCAAAAAGAATTAAGTTGTAAAAAGTAATTAATTAATTATCCTCTATATACCTGGACATATACACGTAAATTTGCCAGGACATTAAAATATGGCACCCTGCTGTATAATGCTTCCACTGGGATTCATATTTATTAATAATGGCAATTAAGTATAAGGCTTAAGTTAGGTTTACACTGCAGAGGGTTATATATTCTTTATACTTTACAAATAATGAAACAGCGTTTCAAATCAGGATTGACTGTGACTACTGGTTAATCTCAAAAGAAATTCACCACCATTTAAGGCAGCTATGTAATATAATAAGGTATGAAACCTATTAGGAACCATGTGACTAATGCAAAAGAGAAAGAGAAAAAGAGAATTTTTATTATTGACTTATTTACATATTTACAGACAGCAAACGATTATTATAAGGTAGATCAGATGGTTGTATAGAAACTGTTGGTGGAAATACCTATCAGTCTACAAAAATGATGAGAATGAAAAACCTTCATTCAATCCCTGTGGTGACAATGTTTTCAATTTATATATCCAGTAGGATTCTCTTTGTTTGAGCCTACGATCCCAATCCCCTTTACGTTGTGTTTGGGTTATGAGTTCTATGCCCATAAAGCGTATCCTACTGGATGAATTTGCATGACAAGTCTTGAGGTGCCTTGAGATGGGAGTTTCCAGTTTGCTTCTGACTGAGTTGACGTGTTCTCTAATGCGGAACTTAAAAGGTCGGAATGTTTTTCCGACATACTTCATGCCACAAGAACATGTCAAAAGGTAGATGACTCCCTCTGTACGGCAATTGAAGAAAGACTGTACAGAATGAGAGTCAAGATTCAAACTGTCGAAAAAAATCTTTGTTTCTTTACCTATGTACTGACAGGCACTACAGTGACCGCATCTATAAGTGCCTTTAGGTAAATAGGATTTAGAAGATTTATTAAATGGACCAAAGTGGCTAGGTACCAAAAGGTCCTTAAAGTTCTTCCCTCTACGTGCCGTAACGGAAGGAAAAGGAGAGATGACTGATTTGATATGGACATCTGATGTCAGGATCGGCCAATATCTGCTGAGAATCTGCAGCATTGTGTGCCAACCTGCATCATGTGTCCCAATACAGCGAATCTGATGGCTGGAGGGTAAAATTTT